TTGATCAACATGTGTCATTACTGTGGATTAGTTGGTCACCTGGACAGAAGTTGCTCTGAAAGGATTGATGCTATTAAGAATAACTCTCTGAAAGAAGGGCAGTTTGGTGAATGGATGAGAGCTCCAGATGGACCTATATGGTCAGGTCCTGCCTTTTCTGGTTCCAAATTTACTTGCCCTGACTCTCCTAATAATCCAACTTCCCAGTCGCCTTTGAAAACTACAACCAGTCAAATGGAGGAAATCAATCAACTTCTGGTCATTTCTATGGAATCATCTCAGCAAGAACAGCCAGAAGTTCAAGGCCCCATACACCCTTCTCCAGTCTCTAAAGAGCCTACGGTGTCATCATCTCCAACTTCTCTTGAGTTAATTCCTTCAGAGAAGGCTGCTTCTACTGACCATCAAATTGTTGTCAAAGATAAAAGTGCTCTCATGGAAGTGGAAGACTCTCAAGCCATTATCTCAGTTGTGCCTCTTTCTTCTGATCTGAAGATGGATGCCACTCCTTTGCTTCAACTCAAAACCTGGAAAAGATCTAGCACTGCAGATGGTAGACTTATAAGGCAGAACCCCTCACAAATCACCAGTTTGCAATCCCTTCTATCTGGAAAAAGATCCCAACCAGAAGCATCATCTACAACCTCTGTCCCTTATCAAAGCTCAAACCCTGATGATCCTGTTTTGGAGCAGCATCTCAATAAGAAAAAGAAGTCTCTTTCAAAGGTAGGGGTGGCCAGCCTCGATTGGCACCCGAGTGATCAATGTTAGCTGCGGTGTGGAACTGTAGAGGACTGGGTGGGCCCTCTACAGTTTCCCAAATCAAAGAGACTTTCACATCTCATCACCCAGCTTTCTTTTTTCTTTCTGAAACTAAAAAATCTTCTTCTTTTGTCCATTCTGTGGTCAGTAAGTTGGGTTTCAACAACAGATTCACTTTAGTTAATCCTCAAGGGATTAGTGGGGGTCTTCTTCTGATGTGGAGTTATGACATTTCTATCCTTAATGTTTCTTGTCAAGACTTTTTTATTGCTGTGGAATTTTCCTTCAAAAATTCTGTTTCTAGCTGGGGAGTCTTTACTTATCTAAGCCCTTACTCCACAATCAGAACTGAGCAGTGGAAATTTCTGGAGTCTGAAAAATCAAATTGGGGGGACAGATGGTTTGCAATTGGAGACTGGAATGACATCTGTCTAAGTTCTGATAAACTGGGGGGCATACCAAGGTCTCCTAGAAGCATGGCTGGTTTCAATGATTTCATTAATAACATGGCAATGGAGGAGATTAGAATGGTTGGTAACAAGTTTACATGGTGCAATCTCAGACTGTCTGAAGGTCTGATTCAAGAGAAACTGGATAGAGGGTTTTGCTCCCTTGACTGGATGCAATCTTTTCCTAATGCTACAATTACCACCATCCTGAGAAGTGCATCTGACCACTCCCTTTTGCTGCTTAACTCTGGGGCTCTCAAGGAACAAAATAGCAAAAGATTCCATTTTGACAAAAGGTGGCTCTTAAAAGAAGATATCTCTCAAGTGGTCTCTGAGGCTTGGAGCCTTCCCTGCACAGGCACTCCTTTCTTTAAGCTGAAGGAAAAGATTAAAAGCACTAGAAAAGCCCTCATTATATGGAGCTCAAAGTTCAACCAAGTCAACCAAGCTAAAATCAAGGAACTAACTGGCATCCTGGAGAAATTACAACCAAACCTTGGAGAGAACAACTGGGAGACATGGGAATTTACCAAAGCAGAGTTAAACAAGGCTTACAA